GGCTTGATCAGCACACTGGAGGAGAAGGGGAATCCCCACACTGATTCTAATTATAAACTGTGTTGTGTGTTTTGATGGTGCACTTTGCATTTCCTCTTAAAGCTTGTTTGTGTAGTGGCAGCTTGTTTATACAATCTTGTCAATGAGGTTATGAGGTAGTTTTTAGGTTTGTTACAGCATTTTCATTTTTTATGTCACTCTAGTGATGGATAAATGACTGAATTAAATAGAACTACAGTTAATTTTGTCAGTATGTGACTTTAAATGTAGTCTTGCAGACTGTAGACTGTTAACATGAACAACATCTAATGTTGAATGACAAAGAATGTGAGTGTTTTTGTTTAGAAAAGAGATTCTAGTCCAGGATGTTGATTCATTAATACAGCGTTCCAGTTGTGATAGTGAAGTGGCCCAGTATTGATATTAAATATTGTTTAACCAATAAAAGTAGAGGACTGGAACGAACTGTTGTAGAGTATAATAAAAAAAAAAATGATACAAACCACCACCTGTGTGGAATTGATATGATTTTTAAATGTTTTTTTAAAGTCTCTTTTGCTCACCAAGGCTGCACTGATCAAAATATAGTAAAAACTGAATTATTATAAAATATTATTACAATTTAAAATAACAGTTTTCTTTTTAATAATTTTAAAACGTTATTTATTTCTTTGATGACAAACCTGAATTTTTGACATTGACACTGACAACTGGAGCAATGGCTGCTGAAAATTCAGCTTTCCCATGACACAAATAAAATAAATGTAAAAATATACTACAACAGAAAACAGTTCTTTTAAATTGTAAAAATATTTCACAATATTTCTGTCACGTGTAAGTTTCTGTTTAGTTCCTGCTTGCCCCTGTTTGGTTAATTTCCTGCTCATTTAGTTAATCATCATTCATTAGTTTCCACCTGTGTTGTATTAATCATCTCATTTGCTCCTTAGTTGCCTGCCCGTTATAAGCCCTCTGTCATGCCTTGGTCCTGGATTAATGTTATTTTTCAATGGTTTATGTGGTTGATGCTGATTAAAAATACTCTTTTACTCCTACTCCTCTGTCGTGCGCTCACTATAACCACAACCCTGTGACAATTACCTCTTTTACTGTACTTATGATCAAATAATAACAGCCTGTCTGTCTGTCTGTCTGTCTATCTCTCTATCCCAAACTTTTGACCAGTAGTTTATATATTGCGCATAATTATTTGTGAGTTTTAATTGCAAAACAACAAAAGGTCACAAATTATATAATTTCATTCATTCATTCGTCAAGTCAAGTCACCTTTATTTATATAGCGCTTTTAACAATACAGATTGTGTCAAAGCAGCTTTACAGTATTAAATAGGAAAAGAGTGTGTCAATAATGCAAAATGACAATAGTAAACACTCAATTTTCAGTTAAAGGCAGTTCATCATTGAATTCAGTGATGTCATCATCCAGATCAGTTCAGTTTAAATAGTATCTGTGCAATCAAGTCGACGATATCGCTGGAAAATAAGTGTCCCCAACTAAGCAAGCCAGAGGCGACAGCGGCAAGGAACCAAAACTCCATCGGTGACAGAATGGAGACAAAACCTTGGGAGAAACCAGGCTCAGTCTGGGGGCCAGTTCTCCTCTGGCCAGACGAAGCAGCAGGTTGTTCCGTGCTGCAGCAAAGTCAGATTGTGCGGAGGACTCATCTGGTTCCTGTGGTCTTGTCCCGATGGCCGTCAAGGAGACAAGGTCTTCACTGGGGATCTGTCTCTGGGGCTCATCTAGTTGTTCTGGTCTCCGCTGACATTCAGGGCTGTCGAGGTCATCTCTAGGTGCTGATCCACCATCTGGGCTGGATGCGGACTGGATCCGGGTGACTGCAGTGACCATCTGATCTGGATACAGACTGAATCTGATGGCTACGGTGACCTCGGAATAAGAAAGAAACAGACTAATACAGTATCTTTATAGTTATCATACTGTAAACAGGCCTTAACAAGACATTTATGTGTGTACACACCTGTTGTGAATCCATAGAAATAATTGGTGAGAACTGACCACATTAATGCGCAAAGTTTACAAAATTCTTACTGAACTTGAATATTGTTGAAAGTACAGTATATCTCTGCCCACTAATTTTATAACATGTTCAAAATGACCCCTAAGTGTATTTACGGTCGTCTTGCTGTGAATCTAGACCTAAATATGGTTTGACTGTAATCTTATACCTGTCTTAAGAGGCAGAAATAAGTGTGACATATTGGTAAGGCCCAGGTTTTCAGGTTCCCTTTCAGTGTTCATCCAAACCTACCTAGTTTGTCCTCATACACTCTTTGTTCACTGTAATGTGCTTGAGTTCTGAAGCATTTAAGCAACACATTAGCGCTGATTGTTTGTGTCTCGTGTTCCGCGTCTGCCAAATCCCAGAGCTGCTCTGGGCCTATTTATACAAAGATGAGCTAAGCCTGCAGATCATGAGGCTCAGCACAGCAGCTTACCATGAGACCACCATATCAGACAGCAAAGGCTCAGAATGCTTAAGTGCTCACTACAGACGTTATTAATGGGTCTGCTTCATTCATAAAAGATTTGTGTATGTTTTTAGTCTTTCACATAAGGATCAAGTTCTCATATTCGTGTAACATGTTTTATAGGGACCATATTAGATTTGTTTTATATTTATCCTCAGTGAACAATATTGTACAAAATATGTAATTGTGCTATTTGTTTTTGGGTTTTTTTGCATTTTAGTACATTTTTTTCTGTCATCTAACACTCAAATAAAGTTAATCTGAGCACTTAAACACTGTACACTCATTAACACTGTTAAAGGTAATGTTTTTAAATATAATCTCATGAATGTTATAAATTAATGTTATATTATAATGTTGAAGGTCTAAATTCACTTGTAGGATTGTAAATGATTGGTTTTAGTGTTTTGTTTTTAATTTATTTAGTCAAAATAGCATAACATTTTGCTATTTATCATTCATCAGCCATAAAATGAAAAGAATAATTGTTTTATAGGTACTGACCAGCTATTTAATTTTTGTGCATCTTTAAGAATATTAATACAGCAAAGGTAAAGTGCTTATATACTGATGTTGTGAAATGCAAAAAATAAAATAAAATAAATATATACTGTATATAATTTTTTTTGCATTTTTAGCATTTCACAACATAAGTAGGCCTATATAAGCACTTTATATATAATAAATATATATTAAAAAATATATATTTGTTGTAAATTGTGAAAAAATATTGTGTGGAATGTGTTCCTTTTAACATTCATTTAATAAATAAATGCATAATAAATACATATATATATATATACACTGAACAAAATTATAAACGCAACACTTTTGTTTTTGCCCCCATTTTTCATGAGCTGAAAGATCTAACTTTTTCTATGTACACAAAAGGCCTATTTCTCTCAAATATTGTTCACAAATCTGTCTAAATCTGTGTTAGTGCGCACTTCTCCTTTGCTGAGATAATCCATCCACCTCACAGGTGTGGCATATCAAGATGCTGATTAGACAGCATGATTATTGCACAGGTGTGCCTTAGGCTGGCCACAATAAAAGGCCACTCTAAATATGTTATGGACAATGAACACAGGTGCATTTTATTGATGGCATTTTGAATGCACAGAGATTCCGTGACAAGATCCTGAGGCCCACTGTTGTGCAATTCATCCATGACCATCACCTCATGTTGCAGCATGATAATGCACGGCCCCATGTTGCAAGGATCTGTACACATTGGGTATCTGCCACCCTGTACTTTTAATATTAGCATTTATGATACATTTTGGATGGTTGCTTTTGTATCTGGGTTTTGAATTTTGTCCAAGGAGTGTGAGTCACCCAGTGTTTTGCTATTTAAAAAATTCATATACCTGTAAGTATTGGGTATTAGGTACTCTCTCTCTCTCTCTCTCTCTCTCTCTCTCTCTCTCTCTCTCTCTCTCTCACACACACACACACACACTC